AGGAATGTCCGTTCACCAGACCCGTTTCCGCTTCCCCCGACAGGTGGAGGTAAAGCCATACGTGCTGGATGACCAGATGTGTGACGAGTGCCAGGGCGCGCGATGCGGCGGGAAGTTCGCTCCCTTCTTCTGTGCCAACGTCACTTGCCTGCAGTATTACTGTGAGTTTTGTTGGGCAAACATCCACTCTCGTGCCGGCCGGGAATTCCATAAGCCATTGGTAAAGGAGGGGGCTGACCGCCCGCGCCAGATCCACTTCCGCTGGAACTAGCCCTGGTGACGCAGCGTCTGCGTAAGGAGCGAAGGGTGCATGTGGCTTACTGTGTTTGAAGATACTGACATGCAGAAGAAATAAGTGCATTCTTCTGCTTCTCACCCCAGCTATCAATACATGCATCTTTATCAGCAGCCAAAACACTACAAGCCTCTTGTTTTTCACCAAAACCCTACATCTCAGGCTTACTAATTTTTGTGATATTTTCATGTTAAAATAAAATGTTTTTTTGTATTTTCTCCAAGTTATTTTTATATGTAAAGTTAAAACTAGATATGAGAATGTTTTTGCGTAGGGGCACACAGTCTGCTGCTATATTTAGTGGGTGAAGCGTGCACTTATTTCTAAACATGGGTTTTTAACTTCAAGATCTGCCCCAGTAATTTACCAAAGGTAGCAAAATAGTGAAGATGGAATATGTCTGCTACAAAAAGCTTATTTTTATTGTTGTTGCTATTTTCAGTGTATACATAAACTAAAAATTAGGGTTGATTTTTTGCTCTCCATTTTGACTTGCAAGAAATAATACCTCAAGATAATCTGATTTATTAGCTATTTTTAAACATTTTTAATCACAAGCTGTATTAGCTTTGCTGCTATATAGGTGTTATGTGTAATGCCACCTATTAATACGGGACTGAAACGTTAAAGACACACTGCATTACAGATAAAATGCAGGCAGCACAATATGGCCTAAACTGCCATAGTTTTAGAATGTGAAAAAAAAACTTGCATGTTTACTTACCTGTATACACCATATGCATGCACTAGAACTATTACTTAACAAGAGGCGAGTTATTGCAGATGTTCAAAAAGGCTCTCTTGAAACTAGGTAGCATGAGCAAATTTACAAAATTTGTTACAAAAAAAAAAAAAACAGACTTGCATGCATTTATTGTGACTGAAGTAAAAAAGATGTCCTACATGTGTACAATATGCAGATTAGTTTTAGACTAGAAAGTGCAGCCATTTTGTGACCTGGTCAGTAGTGGAATTCAATTTTACGCAGACTGGATGTAATATTGTAATCCCTGTGCAATTTTGTGACGTGTGCTTCTACTTAACGTGGCGTGACGTAGTATAGATACAAGTTTGAGTAAAAGGCTAGCATTTAAAAGTTATTTTAAGCCCCCCTTGATTGTTCATGATTGAGATTTCCTCTACAAAACCAAAGATGGCCAGCACACTGCTAACCAGTCACCAAATGTGAAACCCATGACAAATGCATACAAAATATCCTTGTGTACGAACGCGTAACGCTTTAGAAATTAAATCTACGTAAAGTCAAAATGGAGAAGGTGTAATATACAGACGGCTAGTTGCATAACAAACTAAACTTTACCTTCAAGACAACAGTGAAATTTGGCTTGAAATCTTGCTTACATGTTTGACCTGTGTGCGTTGTGGTCTTCTGTCAAACTGGGGTCACTGTTGCATGACAAGTAGCTACTTGGCAGTCAAGGATGGTGTTTTTATTTCAATGAAGGACTTCTAGTAAAGACATTGCTTGCGGATTTTGCAAAACGTCTGTAGTGAGGACAGAGGCAATATTTAACCGAACACTAAAAGAAAATCACAGCAGTGTTTTTGTCTGTCTATCTCAGAGCATTTTTAATGCAACTAGCCCCTACATTTTAATGGAACAAACAGTTATTCTGCAGTCTAAGCAAGCACTCTCACTGGTAAATGTTGTAATGCAGAACTAAGAGCCTGACTCTCAAGTTGAAATTACAAGGGAGCTGTTCCTTGCAATCCCTTGGGACAATCCTTCATGTAAGCAAAGTGTTGATCTTATATTGGTTGTCTACGGTGTGCTTTTTTGTACTGTACAATACGTGGTTCATGTCTAACTCTGCTGTTTTATTGTGGTTGTGGTTCAAGTTTTTAATGTTTAAAGTTGATGCTGTTTTAAGAAGAGCTTTTTACTAATTTATTTGTCAATGTTCCCTATTTGTTACCTAACCATGATCCTCCAGATTTTTTGGAGTATTCTTTTTTAACCTTAGCCCTGCCAAACCTTGATCCATTTTGACATTTGTTATGCACTATTTTTATATCTCTGTGAGAGATTTTTCCAACAGTCAGCTATTTTAAGGCACACTTTTTTTGACTGATGACATCTCCTTTGCTATACCTCAATTTTTGGAATTTAGAAAAGAAATCAGTAGTTTTGCAATGTTAATTATTTAGATATAATTTAATTCTGCAGATTTTTTTAAACTTTATTTTCATATTTTCTGCTTAATGTTTAAAATTGAAGAGCCTTTAAATATATTAAATAATGAACACTAATATTAAAATAGTTCAAAATTGAAATAATTGGAGATGTTGCAAATCCCTTTCCCTGTTTAAATGGAACTACTTAAGTCACAGGGGGACAAAACAGGGATAACGTTTTTTGGCATGGGTAAAAATAACTGAAATGTCAGATATTACTTGTTACTTCATTTCTGGAGCAATTCAAGTTATCGTACCCTGCACCACCTCCTTTTTTTTTCTTTTCCTTTTTTTTATCTACTAAGTTCTTATTTTCTACTTGTTGAACACTGTATTTGTTTTTTTTTTTTACAGATCATATTTATTTTGCTATTTTTGTAGAAAATTGCTAGTTAGTTTGATTGTATTTTTGTATTTTTAAAGCTTCTTCACTTTTGTTCCCCAAATGTGCATATTGCTGCCCATGAGTATGACTGTGGAGGAAAAAAAAATACTTTAAAAATCCACACTTTTTGTTAAGAAGGAAACATTTAGCATTTATATATTTGTGTATGGAAAACACTTGATATTTTATCCCTGTTGCATCTGGCTGCACAAAGCCTCTCCTCAAAGATGCTACAAAACTTGAATATAACACATTTTGGAAGGCTGACTAACCTCGATTCTGTGTTGTGATGTGCAATACTGTTTCTAATGTTTGTATAAAAAAATAACAGTGTAAACCTTTTTAATGCAAATTTATTTTTTTCATTGCATATTTTGCAGATTTTATCCACAGTGTCATTTTTTACTGTCAGAAAAGATACCCCTTTTGTCATTGCAACTATTTTTTAAATCCAGAAATCTTTGTACTGATGTAAATGATTGTAGTTATTTTGGATAGTGTTTTGCTAACAAAAGGAGAGACTTTTTTCATGCATATTTCTATTTTGTTTTTTTGGTTTTTATTTTATTTTAATAGTAGTAAAATACTTGGAATAATTTTTCATATTCTTGTCATTAATATTATTTTGTATTTTTATGTGGAAATATATAATTTTATGACGCTAATTGCTAAAGTTTATTTTATGTTGAATTATTTTTGGAGCTGAAATCTTTGTAATATTAAAGCAACTAGTTTCTAATTCCGAGTTTCTGTATAGAATCGCACAAGTGGTTTATGGAGTGTTTGGATTGTAATTATAAATGGTTCTTTGATATGCAAATTAATATTTTCAGTTGATTTTATTTTGTATTCCTAATGGGGTGTTAAAGCAGTTTTTTATTTTTTTCTAAATAAAAGAGAACCCATGCTTTTATGGACACTAGGTAATCGCCTTCAGCTTAAAATCTTTTTGTTAAATATTTTAGTTTGTTTTACTGTTATCTTCCAGGTGTCTAAATCTCCAGTCTGTCTGTTGTACTGGTAATTTAACTCTGTAATGGAATAGTTTGCTGCCAACTATTTATATTAAGTAATTTTTAAATATTTGTAATATTGTTGACTGACTAATAAACTATTAAGTTATTGGCACATTTCTTTTGCAATTTTGTGTCTTGTGCAACTCTTTAACCAAATGCTTTCAGTCATGGAGACTGGGAAGCAATTCCCTGGCCTCGCGAGGAGGCAGAGGTGTGAGGGCCGGCCCTGGTGCACGTGGGCTCTGCCCTGTTTTACCTCTGCTAATGGCCGAGGGGGGTTTCGCCCCTGCAGCCGTGGAGCCTGTCACGGGGCTTCTCCGGCAGACCCTGCTCCTGGTTTTCAGTGGGAATTTCGCTCGGCTCCATGCTAACATAGGGTTCTTAAAAGGCGCTAGAACTACCCAAAACCAAAGTTCCTGGAGTGTTTGTAACTGTGACTCTGGCAAACTGAGGGGCTGAAGGGCACAAAATGCTTGTGAACAGGCAAGTGTTAGGGCGGCCCTGTGGTGGAGGCCGCTGAGCGGCGGTGCCTGGGCCTGGTCTGAGCGTTGATGCTCCCCAGCGCCGCGAGCCGAGCGCGAGGGGAGGTGCTGCTCGGGGCCCTTCGCTTGTTTGGTTTTTAATCCAGAAAATCTACCATAGCCAGGGAGTTAGTGCGTCAAACACCTTACTAACCATGTCTGTGTGCAGTCTGCCCGAGTTACCACAGGACAGCTCCAAATCCATCGTAGCTTCTTACCTGTAAAAAAGAAGGGGAGAGCACCACCATCAATGTCAAGAAGGGGTGGCAGTGATCTTGCTTTCTATTTTTAGTCATGTTGGAAGAGTGAAAGATTATTTTCCATGGGGAAGAAAAAAAAAAAAAAGTAAAACACTGCAACAGTAGTAGCTCTCACTTTTTTTTATGTTTTTCTATCTGCAGTGGCTATTGCATATGCCATCTCTTTCATAAGCTCTTATATTTTGACACAGATCCACAGCTACCAAGTTTGCACAACTGTTAAACAGCTTCATTTTGTGTAAGAAATAAATAAAAGGTCCTCTTGTCCTTCAAACAGCTGAGCCGGCTCCTAGGAGAGAAAGCTGCTGAGCGCAGCGAGCTGGGGCCTGCTAAAAGGGGACGGGAGCCCAATCTTAAAGCTGGCAGTTTCCTAGTTGGCAAAAAACAACCAGGCGAGGTTGGCTGTAACTGTGGCAACTGCAAGCTTCTCTAAAGGGAAGCATTTATTTTGATCTGGGTGAGGGGCTTGATCATATCGCATTTTTGATGAACTTCCCCTTCTCCAGGCAGAGGATGCACCCACTTCCCGCCTCCGGGGCCTGGGCTTCTTCCTATGGGCACAAAGCCAGGAAGGGCAGACGTTGATGAATATCCTCGTCTTTCCAGGACATAAAATTAGAGGCCTAGGACATTACTGGGGTGCACACACAAACCCCGTGTGCTGGGGGGCCTCTTCACATCCAGTGTCAATAACCCTGCACAGTTTCTTAAACACGACCCCTCAGCCTGCCCTGCACACACATGGGATCATGGCGGCTGGGCCACTTTCTTCCTAGTGAAAAAGGTGGATTCTCTCTCATGGAACTGCCAGATAAAATGTTGCCAGAATATTGTGCCTGGCTTGAGAAGGAAAAGGGAAGGTAGAAAAAGAGGTTTTCTAAGGTTTGATGTAGTTCCAAAGCACAGGGCTGGGCTGTCAGAAAAAGGCCTCGTCCATCCACTGATGAAGATGTAGATCTGCACCTCAGCAAACTGCTTGCCTCTGGGGCGGAAAGTATTTCAACACTGAGCTTTGAAAACGCGCAGAGATGTTAACATTTAATTAGGGGAGATGTGCATTATCTGCCATAATCAACAAAATGCATCTGTAGACAGATCAGATGTGACATTCACTCTGTGCTTTGCAATTATGCGAGAAAATTGTCGCTGTGAACACGGTTCAGCTCTCATGCAGAATCACCCGAACTCTATATAGTTCATTTCCTAAATATGCTCTCAAAATAGGGCTTGCATCAGCTTTAAGCAGCGTGTAGGCCCTTCACGGAGAAGCGAATTTCACCCTCTAAGGTTAGATATGGGTTAAGCAGGCACTGTCTGTGTAACTAACGCGCCTGTTTTACACTAGAACATGGTGTACTTTTGTCAGCATTTTGATTGCTTTTAAAAACAGCATGATTGTAGGGAGAGCCAGGAGAGATAAGTGAATCTGGGAACCACGATAGTTTTATACCATGTACTTTAAAGCACGTGAATAGTACTTACCAGAAAAGTTACTACCCTGCAAGACAGAAGTGTTTCTTTAAGCAGAATTCAAAATAGAACAGCACTGCAAGACTTTCAGGCATATTAATATCTATACAGTTATCTCGGTGAAACTGGAGCCTAAATGAAAATTGATATCAAAGGCAAAGACTGATAAAGGTGCTGTTGTTCATTTCTTTTTTAAATAATTTAAATCCAACTATGAGAATAATAATGGAACATAAATATTTGAAAGCCTGAAAACTCAGAAATAATGTTCAGTTTAACTCCATTCCTATTCACAGGTAAATTATGCCTGTGGTAGCAGTGCTATTAAATTCCAGATCCATTATCAGCCCCTGCCTCTGACTGCTGTGCCTTCGTACCCATTGCAATCTGCTTTCAAAAACACAGGGAACCAACACACCGCAGGCCAGGCCGTGGGTAAACCTGCCAGACCTGCTTTCGCTATCCGCTGATGTTGGGGTCAAACTCCCATTATTTGGGAAATGAATCAGCCAAGTCGTCTGTCTCCCAACTGCCGCACAAAGCTGAGGAAGGGACAGGGTGAACTGCTTTGACTTGCGTGTGTGGGACAAGGCCGGGCGCTGGGAGCTGAACTGAGGTGGCAGAAGAGAAGTCTGGTGGTCTCTTAACTATGAGGACAGTTTGAGAGAGAAGTACCTTCCTCATATAGGCACTTACAAATTCTGAGCACAACCCTCAGTATAAATCAAAGCTTCTACGCAACGGGGGCAAACAAGCCGCACCGGATCCCTGAAGGGCTGAGCTCGGCGCAGGCCGGCCCCACGCAGACGAGCTGAGCACCGGAGTGCTCTGAGTTTCTGACCGCCTGGACCTCGTCCCACCGCCGGGAGCGCGGAAGGATCCCGCCGCATGGCCGTCCCCTCCTAACCACATAAATGAGCCCTCGCCGCCCGCGTCTGCAGACTGCACGCCTGCAAGGCCAAACATGTCGGAGGAGCCAATCCCAAAAGCTACTTCCAGCGCAGCAGCCAGTGGTCGGGTGGGAGAGAGGGCTTCAAAGACCTTTTGTGATGCTATTAGAGAGTCCTCGATGCCCATATCTGATGGGCATGATGAATATGGCTCTAATGCATTGCATCGATCCCTCCCCCAAAGGCGCCGCTTGCCACTGGCAACCCCAGCTAAGCAGACAAGATTGCTTTGTGTGTATGTGCCTAAAATCGATTTTTTGAGTATCTGAACGATGTAAATGGCAGAGAACAGCCCAGCTCCATGAAATGACCCCTGGAAATGGTTCTGCCAGGGCCTTGCTCACCACGCACAACCCAATCCCTCATGTCAATAGATTCCTTGCTGTTTTAATACCTACACAGGCTGTTCACATCTGCTACCATTACACTTTGAGCCGATGCCAGGGCTGGCCAGGAAGAGGGCACCAATGGAGCTGCTCATCCCACACTCCCCCTCCTGGGAGGACAGAAATCCCCCCAACCAGAGGCACACTCAGTGTTCAGCCTTTGCCTTGGGACCTCTGCAAGGGCCATCACTGCAGAAGTGCTCGACATACCTGCTTGCTAGAGCAGGAAGGCAAAGGGCTGAAACAGCGCCCCAGCTTGCCTGCTGAAGCCTTCATTTAGGTTGCTGAGTGGCAGAGATTAGATTTGAGGTTTTCTCTAATACTGCATCATAATTTACTCTCACTGCAAATTCTCAAAAAAAAAAAAAGATTTCAAAGACCTTTGTGAAAATAAAAACAGACTATATTGACATATTTGCCTTAGAAGATGCTAATCAATATCTATTTTGTTAGCCAATATGGTTATGTCTCCTGTTATTGTGATTTATTTCATTTTTGTTGACCAAAGCTGGCTGAATGGGTGATAACAGCACTGAAAGTGGCAAGGGTTAATAAATTCAGATGAGGTTGTCATCTTATTACCAGAGTGCAGGAAGCGAAGCACAACCGTTTAATTAACCTAGTCGCAATGAATTTCATGCAACACGCAGTTAACACTCCATCTATTAAAACTGCAAAGCAGATGGTAGTGAGCAGTTTTGCCTGCCATAAATAGGGTACCATTTGAATTACTTGCTGCACAGGATTTTATAGGACAAAATTATCTAGATATTAAATGGTGAGATATTTAATAATCTTTTTCTTTTAAGCCATGAATATTTAAGACTTGTGTGATCCAAGAGTAGAAAACTCAATTCCCCTAAACAACTGAAAAAAATAGAAAAAAAAAAGAAAGAAAAGAAAGAACGACAAAACTTTGATGAATTGGCATTTCTTCCAAATTCCAAAGCCTACAGTCCCCAGTTATGTATGGGGAATACATAATCCATTACAAAGTTTTACCCTACTTCTATATCTGTGTAGGAGATTTTTATTATTCACACAAATGGATAATCCTAGCTGAGTATTAAAAGGCCACATTTCTCAACAGACCAGTAGTTTCTCTCTTGCTCTTGAAAAATGATTGTGATAAATATTAGCAAATTTAACATTTTTCCTTTCATTTCACGCAGCTAGGGAGCTATGTGGCCACACGACTGCACACGCTGGCAAGGGGCTATACATCAGAGGCGCCGGGATGACTCACTGCCCCAGCCGCAGCAGACATTTCGCTTTCACTGATAGATGAATTGTTTCTTATTCTATAGAGGGGAATATAAGCTTAAAAAGAAAAACCAAATATGTGGTATGGCTTCATATGTATTTAGTGATTTAGGCACTTTTGGAACTTCCCAGCTCTTGTGATGATTTCATGTACACAATTGCTCTTCTCCAATAAAATCCAACATAAAGATGCTAGAAAGAAGCAAAGAGGCTCTCTCAAAATGATTTTTGCCTCAGGACTGTACGAAATTCATT